TCGGAAAATGTACAAAAAGGTTTTCTCCAATAAACTCTAACTCTATCCTACTAAGTGTAAAATCTAGAAGATAGCTAATCTCGAAGGTCGAAGGTCTGTTTGAAGGTCATCTTCCAAATGTAAATTTCCGAAGATCTTCAAGATAACCATCTTCGGGATTTTGACCTTCTCTTCAGTCTTCTAACACTATATTCCTAATTCACTGTTTATCTCCTATCTTCTTACTTAACAGCTTCTTCTTCAGATCTTTCCTAATCTATTTCTACAAAATTTAAAATAAATGATTTTCTTAGGCACCACATGCCCCCTTTCTCAAATGTTTGCGACCCCGCAAACACTATTCATGGAATCTTCTATTTATCTTTCTTTGTCTCGTTTTTCTTCCCTTACATATTCCCACAATCATTCACATCTTCGAGACTCAGAAATTGTGCAAGTCCTGCTGCCTTCGGAATAGAGCTTCTGGCGGCGACTATCTCCTGAATCTTCTTCTGCTCGTTCGCCTTCCAAGGTTTTGTTCTTGCGAGGATCGAAGGTACCCTCCCCATCCCGAAGATAGTCTTGGTAATACCCTTCCGGAAAGGGATCTTCGCGAATTTGTTGCCACCTCCTGATTACAGTCTTCGTTACCCCTGGTACTTTTTCACCCTCCAACCATTCACTCGATTAGCGAAGGGATTTCCTGCGAGATCTTCAAGCTCCAGTGATCCATTCTCATAGATCTTGGTTACCTTGTACGGGCCCATCCATCGAAGATGTAGCTTGCTTGGGAATTTGAAATGTCTATTGTCATAGAGAAGGACTAAATCTCCGTCCTTCAAATCTATCTTCCGTATCTTGTTATCGTGGTTCTTCTTCCTTCTCTCCTGAATGTCCAAGGTGAAATCTCTTGCTTCGTCTCTGTTTTCTTCTAACTGTGTCAGCTGTAAGAACCTCACTTCCTGACTCTCTTCTACTGACAAGCGATCTGCACTCAGCACACGATGGGTAGGGACTTCGAACTTAACCGGGAGAATGGGATTCATCCCGTAGGTTAAATAATAAGGTGTTCGGCAGGTGGTTATCTTCTCCGCAATCCGGTACGCCCAGAGCACAGCCGGTAGTTTGGCATCCCAGTCATATGCGTAGTTAACGGTCACTTTCTTAAGGATCTTACACAGAAGACCGTTGGACTTTTTGGTTAAACCGTTGGCCTTCGGGTTGTAGGGTGTGGTCTTCCTGTGTCGAATTTGAAAATATTCTGTCAACACTTCGATCAGATAGTTGAGAAAGTGACTACCTCGGTTGCTAACCAATTCCAACGGACACCCATAACGAGAAATGACGTTTCGGAAGAAGAACTCCGCAACGGTCGTAGCATCGTCTTTCCGAGTTGCTTCCGCTTCAACCATCTTCGTTGAGTAGTTTGTTGCAACCAAAATATACTGCTTCCGAGTATATTGAGTAACGGGTTGAATGGGGCCTACAAAGTCAATTTCCCATTTCTCGAAGGGGGCTAAAGGTAGTATAGGACACAATGGCCATTGAGTGGAAGATGTGGGCCTTCCAACTCGTTGACATGCATCACACCTTCGGATATAGTCATGGGTGTCCTTATACATGGTCGGCCACCAATATCCTGCAGCCAAGATCTTCTTAACTGTATTCTTTAGTGCGTAGTGTCCCCCAGCTGCTTCCGAGTGTAATGCTTTGATGACACCTCCCACTTCACAACTTTCTAGGCATCTTCGAAGCTCTTCGTCTGCTCCCATCTTGAATAGAATACCCTTCTTGAGTTCATATGGGCTCATTTTGTGAATGAACACAGATCTTTGTACAGGGTCTTGTCCTTCAGGGCACTGCATTGTTTGAAGATACCTGTATTCATCCATGTATCGTATAGTCTGCGACGTCGTCATCTGGAACAGATCTTCATCTGGGAAATCATCCAGGATTTCTTCCTTTTGTTCTTCTGTTTGAAGACGAGACAGATAGTCCGCATTTGCATGTGTACTCCCCTTCTTAACCTGTACTGTATAATCAAATTCTTGAAGGAGTAACACCCATCTGGCTATTCTTCTAGATAAGTCCGCCTTCTTCACTAAATACTGAAGAGGAGAATGATCAACATGAAACACGAATGTGTACCCAAGAAGGTACGTCCAAAATTTTCTGCACGAGTACACCATTCCCAACGCTTCCCGTTCTGTGGTGGTGTAATTCTTCTCAGCAGCGTTAAGCTGTCGACTTGCGTAGTAAACCGGATGGTCCTTCCCGTCTTCGTCTTTCTGACTGAGAATTGTGCCTATTGCGAAGGAGGATGTATCCATGTACACATGAAAAGGTCTCTTCCAGTCTGGTGCTTGAAGGACTGGTGCCTTCATCAGTGCTTCCTTCAGGACTAAGTAGGCTCTCTCCTGTTCCGCAGTCCAGTCATAGTATTGATCTTTCTTTAATAACTTGGTCAAAGGCGCAGCCAAAGTGGCATAGCTTTGTACAAACCTTCGATAGTAACCAATATGACCTAGGAATCCTCTTAACTCACGAATATTCTTAGGTGGTTCTAAGTCTTTTATGACCTTGATCTTCATCTGGTCCACCTCTATTCCTCTCTCGGACACCCTGTGGCCAAGAAGGATACCTTCTTTCATAAAGAAGAAACACTTCTCCGGATGTAAGGCTAGATGCATCTGCCTACATCTTTCGAAGGTGATTCCTAGGTGTTTCAGATGATCTTCTCTCTTCCCAAAAATACAGAAATCATCTATGAAGACCTCCACAAACTTTCGTAGGAAGTCCTTGAAGATGGTATTCATTAATCGCTGGAAGGTTGCAGGTGCGTTGTACAGTCCGAAGGGCATTCGGTTATATGCAAAGGTACCCCAGTCGGTTGTGAAGGTGGTTTTATCCTTATCTTCTTCTCGAATGGAAACTTGATTATAATCTGAGAATCCATCTAAAAAGGAATAGCATTCATGTCCTGCCACCTGGTCCAAAACCTGATCTATGAAAGGAAGAGGGTGATGGTCCTTCTTAGTTACCGAATTTAGCTTTCGAAAATCTTGACATACCCAAATTTTCCCATTCTTCTTGGGAACTACCACAATAGGTGATACCCATTCACTGGATAGTACTGGGAAAATTATCCCAGCCTTCAAGTATTTCTCAATTTCATCCTTCACCAACATGGAGTATTTTGGATTTTCTCTTCGCTGTCTCTGGCGTACAGGGATTGCTCCCTCGACTAAATCGATTCGATGTTCTCCATACTCCTTCGGAATTCCTAACATCTGCTCAATGCTCCAGGCGAAGATATCATGATATTTTAAGAAGATTTCTCCACATGATTGAAGTTCTTCTGGGGTTACGTATTTGGAAACCTTCAAGGTCTTTCCTTCGCCCAAATCAATGTCGAGACAATCATCTGGGTTGACGATGCCTTCGACATGACTGGTCGAACTTATTCCCAATCGAGCTAAGTCCAGATTTTTCTCAGACTCGGGATCTTTGTTTCCTGAGTCTTCCTCATCCTCATCAACTAGGTAACATGTCAGATAACTTACATCATAAGGGTCCTTCAAATCAGTCGAAGAAGTTTCGGAAGTCTTCGACGTGTAACCCTGGTCAGTCGGAGGGGTCTCTCCTAGGTGTGGAACCTTCTTCCAACTTACGATTATTGGCTTTTGTGCTGGACCTCGAAGGTCCTTGAACTTCAGTTCGTGACGGTACCAGTTCGTCTTTACTTTTGCTCCGTATAACCATGGTCTTCCGATCAAAACCTTGTATCCCTTTTTCACTATTGGGCGAATGATAATATAAGTTAGTTTGAAGGGCACTCCTCCTATTAGAGTTTCTACATTTCGAAGAATACCTGCTGGCTTTCTCCTTGTTTGATCTGCTAGTCTCAGCATTCTAGGAGTGGTTTCGAAATCATGGTAGCCCAAATCATGAGCTGTCTCCTCTGTCATGATATTGACTCCAGATCCTGAATCTACTGGCACTTCCTTCAAAATGCACCCTGCAATTTCTACGTCAATCTCTGGTGATCTCAGGTCTTCTTGTTCCACATGAAATACCGTAGGGAGTATTCTCTTCCGTTTAGCATTCGTATGACGAAGAGAAGATGCAACCAACTTCCTGTATGGTTTGTTGTCTGCTAGAAGTTGTCCGAAGGTAACATTCGCCTTCTGGCCTTTCAGGTCCTCCACTACGTCGTAATTTGGCACAACTTGTTTCTTTTGAATGGTCTTCGTAGAAGGTACTTCTACTTTCTTTTTCGGAACTATGGGTGCCAATTCATCTTGTACTTCCTTCTGGATGAGCTCCTGGACTTCCTCTCGGATGTCCGCGGGGAAAGCAGTCGGCTACTTATCTTCATGCGGACTAGCGGTGGCTTGCTTCGGTGTCTCCTTCTTGGAAGGACTGGGAATTTCGATATTCTTCCGTTCACTCTTCTTCTTTGGTGGGGGTGATTCAGAAGATGAAGATGAAGTGCCCTTCTTCTTCTGTTTCTTAGTATTTCATGTCTCTACCTTCAAGACCTCTATCGGAAGATCATCTCTAAATTCCTCAGGCCATTCCATTTCCAGATCTTCCGAAGGTTTAGTATGGTCCCATGAGACCAAATTTACTGGAGTATCCACCTTCGGAATTGTGACTGGAGGTGCAGTACTAAAACGTACTGCAGGTTTCTGCTGTGCTGGATGTTGATCACAGTTTACCACTGTATGTCCCGGTTTCCCACAGTTCCCACACAATGGTACATAATCGAGCTGTCTTCGAGGTTCTGGGCAGCTCCTTGCCCAGTGTCCATATTTTCCACAGTTCAAGCACGCACCTGGGGGTGAGTTGTGTGGTACCATCGTTCTGGGTAGCAAGTTTTGTGCGTATTCTCTTGGCACATACCTCGGAATCATGACCGGTGGTATTGGTGTGTGTGTAGGAACTTCTTTCGCTGCGTACACCTAGTCTTCTTACTGGTAGCCTTCGTAGTAATCCCATGCAGGGACCCACTCCATTTGTTATACAGGATACGAAGGTCGATTGGAATAACATTCACTCGCTGTATGACCTGGTTTCTGACAAATGGTACACCAAACGTTAGGCCGCTGATAGGAAGGTTTTGGTCTAGGGGGTTGAGTACCAACCACCTGTATCTTCAACTCAGCCATTTCCTTCCGAAGAGTATCCATAGGATCTTCTTTCTTTGGAGTGCTAGGTCTGGGTGTCGTTTCTTCTTTCTTCCTATCTTTCTTTCTCTTTTCTTTCATCTTGTGTGAGGCCTTTCTAGTGTCTTCTTCGAAAGATGACGAGGAAGAGCTCGATGAGTCTAAAGATGTCGACGAGCTTGAAGAAGAGCTTGACCTTCTCTTCTTCTTCTTCGAACGCTTCTTCTCCCTTCCGCACGATTCCTTCTTGTAATGTGCCGTTTCATATATCTTGGCACTACTGATGGCATTGTCCAAAGTAGGAGGGGTATTTTGTATTTCTCTGCAGAACAATCGAATCGGGTCTTCCAACCCGCTTATGAAGTGATCTGTGGCTTGGGCTTCAGAAATTTGACCCGTATTGGTCCTAGATCGAAGTCCTCCAGCTCTATCAATGAGTACTTGAAATCGTTCTTTGTAATTCCGAAGTTTCTCTTTTTTTCTTCGTCTTATGTGACTAAGACGGGTCCATACGTTTCGCTCATAGCCCACCTCCCTAAATCGCTTTAAAAAAGCGTCTTTAATTTTATCCCAGGTGTTGACGTTTGTTACATCTTTACTGACGTGTGTCCACCAATTCCTCACATGATCTCGAAGAAGATCAGGGAAGATTCGTTTTCGATCATCTTCTGCATGCTCCTTATTAGCAAACGAGATAGATTCAAATTTCTTAATGAAGTTATCTGCATCTTGGTAATCGTCATCTTCTTCATCGGACCCTCCTCGGAATTTTATGTATGTCTGCTTGGTGATTGGGTTGGACGCCATTGAAGTCTTTGGGTTATGACGAGCTAACGCCGGTGGATGAGGTGGAGGTGGAGGTGGTGGCGCCGGTATTGAAACTGGGGTCGCCACACTGGGTGGTTGCTTCCCTTTTGTCGAAGGTGGAAGAGCTGTTAGGAAAGATGAAGGGAATAAATTCGAAAGTACTGGATTGGTCTGCTCTTCCCTTTCTTCTTCTTCTGGCTCTTCTTCTTGTTGACCTTCTTCTTGTGGGTTGTCTTCTGCTTCTTCTTCGAGTGTTGATCCTCGGATGATGTCCTCTTCTTGTTGATCAAGTCTAAGGTTCTGTTTGAGTACCACTGGTTCTAGTTGATCGATGATGGTTCTTGGATCAATGTTTTTGAAGACATCTTCGACTTGTTTCTCAGTTATCTCTGGAACAAGGGAAGTCCATGGTTCCATGGATTCAGAAGGTCCAGCACCTTCCGTACCTTTGGTCTTGGTATTCTACCTTGACTTCTTTGTCCACGAGGAGATTGTTGAAGTCGTATGTCTCCTTGTCCTCAGGGAAGATGGGGATCTTCTTGAATCCGATGAACATGGACTTAAAGGCGTATCTTCAACGTTCTCGCTTTTCGACGGTTCGTCACCTTCTTCTCTGTATAAGTTTACAGCTAATCTCTCTCTTTATGGGAACAGAGCGATACTAGAAGGAGAAGGAGGATATCGGCTTCGAGCTCTTCTTGACTGTCCTGGAGGAATCCAATTACTCTCCTTCTGCTTCAATTCTAGCTCTTGCTTCCTTCGAATCTCGTCCCTTCGTCTTCTGCGTTCGGCACGTTCATCCACATGTTGTTCTTCTTCGTCCTCTGACCTCATTCATAGTGGTGAGATTCCGATCAGAGGAAGTTGCAACTCGTCTGAATTCTTTGGCACACAGTTCCCCAACAGCGGCGCCAAAAATGTAACTGTATGTAATGACTCACAAAACCACAAGATTGTAGGTATATGGTGAATACAGGTCGATCCCACGAGGAAAATGGTCAAAGATCTCAAATAGCTTGCAAATATGCCACATCTTCTTCATTCAGTCACTTCACTCTTAGTTTAGACTCCTGGGTGATAGACATAACCCAACGAGTTGAAGGCCAGTTCTAAACAAGTCTTCAGATACACAATCTTCTAGTTTTTCTACTCAAATCCTCTCTTATCTGGAATGAAACAAAGTCTCTTGAGATGGATGATCACTTTATTCCGAGCTCAGAAACTCAATCTGAAGGCAGGTCCTCTCGATTTGGCAGTCTACTGCAAGGAAATAACACCTTCCTCGAAGTGTGCTACCTTCAATGCTACTATGGATGCCACACAACTATTCTTGCCTCCAAGACAAGGATCTTCACTATGTACAGGGACTTACTCCCACAGAGCTTCAACTACCAAAAGAGATGAGCACCAAGCTACTTGAGTCTCAGAGTATCGACGAGGGAATCTTAATTCAACCTTCAATAGCTACAGCCACCGGAACAAAGGATCCTAATTTCCTTAGATCCCTCTCTATTTATACTACTCCAGTTCGGAAAGGTCTAACTACCTACCTCTAACTAACTAACTAAAATCTGTTATAACTGTGGATACACTAATCTCGAAGGTCGAAGGTCAAAGGTCTGTTTTACTAAGTACATGAAGGTCCAGTACCTTCTGTCTTAGTAGAAAATGTGTCAACTGAGACTCTTAAAAGATTCTCAAGAGCCTTCTGTGCCGCTACTACTGTCGCCTTCCGTTCTTCATCGATCTTCCTAGCCCGTTCCAGAGTTCCTTCAGCTCGCTGGTTGAAGGCCTTCAAATCTTCGATCTCCCTGTGGGGTTGCTTCCGAAATTGCTTCCGAACGTCCTGCTCTTTGTGGCTCTTCCGAAGGCCCTTCGAAAGGCACCTCCGCTCTTCTCACCTTCAGTTTCCTGCACATGCGGGTGAGAAACGACCTCATCTTCAGGTTGGTCCTGCCCGTCCATCCGAATTGTCTGATCCGAGGGCACATCTTCGGGTTGCTGCCTTCGTTTCTTGCGTGTCGTGGTTACAGCTCCGCTCTTACGTTTTCCTTTCGGTGACTGCACGAAATCCACATCTTCTAAGTCTACGATTCCTGTCGCTATGAATCTGCAATCCTTCGCTTGAAGAGCTTGCCAATAATTCCTAACTTCTGGTCTTCGGACTAGCTCATCTTCCTTTAGGAAATGGGTTGGAGGTCCTTCGCCTTCGGAAAATGTACAAAAAGGTTTTCTCCAATAAACTCTAACTCTATCCTACTAAGTGTAAAATCTAGAAGATAGCTAATCTCGAAGGTCGAAGGTCTGTTTGAAGGTCATCTTCCAAATGTAAATTTCCGAAGATCTTCAAGATAACCATCTTCGGGATTTTGACCTTCTCTTCAGTCTTCTAACACTATATTCCTAATTCACTGTTTATCTCCTATCTTCTTACTTAACAGCTTCTTCTTCAGATCTTTCCTAATCTATTTCTACAAAATTTAAAATAAATGATTTTCCTAGGCACCACATAATAGACAAAAAAATCGCCCAAAAATTCTCAAAAAACATCATTTATAAGATATTGAAAAGTTTTGGTGCATTTGTAAGTCTAAAAAATATGACATTATATTGAAAATATTTATACTTGGTTTGAAATGTAGTCTTCAATTCATCCCTTTCTTTGATACGTACCAGATTATATGCTCTTCATAGATATATTTTTATATAAATCTTAGCTTGATTCAACTAATCAAGAAGTCTAGATATTAAAGGTTGTGGTTACTTGTTCTTGATGGTGATCTTGTAAAATCCTTCATAATCAACATACATCCTTAATAATCTATCTTTTTTCTTTATAAATAGAATTGAGGCTCCTATTGGAGATTTGAAATAGCATATGAAGTTCTTGGCTAAATTCTCTTCAATATACTCTTTAAATTTAGCTAACTCATTTTGTAATAAATTATAAATTGGTCCAAATAGCAATTGTGCTCCTTCTTGAAGGCTAATTGAACTGTCAAAGGAACAATGTTTTAAAAGAGTATCTGCATTTTTTTCTCAAATTTATCTTAAAATTTTTGATATTAGATTGGAATGCTACTTAAAGTCTTTGTACTATTAGAAATAGGTGTGGCATAAATGACATAAGGTGATCTTTCTTTTACACCATATAAGAAAGCTCTTACATCTACAATCATAGGTTTAATTATACTAGACTTATGATTTTTTAGTTGATTAATTACACTCTTAATTATACTTTAAAAAAAGTCAAGAGTACAAGAAATCCAATCTACTCAAGAGTTGTATTTTTTCAACCATAGTAAGCCTAAAATAATTAGATTAGAGAGAGATCTAATGATATTAAATACCACAAAGCTATCATGACCATTGATTATTACTTCTATAGGAAGGATTTTATGAATAACATCTCCAAAAGATAACAAACAACCATCTATGACTTCTCCATGAACAATTTTAATTTTCCTCACTAAAGATATGCTAAGTCTTTTAGCAAATTCTTCATCTAAGAAACATGCTAAGGCTCTTGAATCTAACAAGACAGAGGCTTTGTAATATTTAGGTTCTAAAATAATATTTAATATAAAACAAGGAAAGGATTTTGAAGAAAAAATAGGACCTTCATTAAATATTGTATAAGATTCTAGCGACATGGTCTCTGTTGTAGCTACACAAATTTATTTTCTAATATATTATCTTTTTTGATATTAGTATTCTTCATTTTATAATTATATTACTTCAAAAGATGAAAACTATAATAATGCTAAATAACTTTGAAGTTGAAGTTCAATCTTAAGTTGTACTTGATTGATAAATCCTCAAAACTTGAATCTTATGGCATCAAGCTTCTTAGACAAGGAAACTCTTGATTCTCTAATATGGAAAGAT